ACAAAACACCTGTTCACCAAAATGTCAGTATGTACAATTTACAGTAAAAAAGGCAGCTGCAGGTCCCACTTCCCAGAACTTGTATGAATATACAGTAGCAATATTTTAGGTTTCACGGGACTGAACTCAAATTTACAGTTAAAAAAAACGGTATATTTCATTAACTGATATAATGTTAATATTACATTCAGATACTCTGTTTTGTACCTGTATAATTGGGCACATGATGGATTAGAGTTCATCACAAGTTTCGATGGCATTTTCTTTTCCTCTTACCTCCATGTAATGCATATTAGTGTTTATAAGCGCAGCTGCCTTTTTTAAAAGCGGTAACCAAGGAAACTATCACTGCTGTTCTATAAGCGCCACCTGCTGTCAGAGAATAGATTTGCATTTTCATTCAGTCCATCTGCTGTTTTTGTTTTGTGCAGGTGTCTTTGTATAGGGTTGCCAACTTCAGAAAATGAAAATAAGGGACAACTGTGATTGTAGGAAAATAAGGGACAGAATAAGGTACGCTCAAAATATTTGTTCTGTACCACATAGAGTATGACATTTCCGTGTCTACAGTTAAGTATGTGTATAAAAAGTGGTTAAAGGGTTCTCAGAAATAATCACATTTGTTTTGCTTAACCTATGTACAATTATTCTAAAAATAAAGTTTAATGTCATACAAAAAAAAGCCACGCATGTTATACACAAAGCATCAGCCTGAGTAAATTTTACCACTATAGAATTGTGACTGCACAAGTGTTCTAGTAATTTAGGAGGTGAATATACTGTGAAATTACATACAATATTGCATAAAATTTGAAAGTATAACAACTGAACATCTATGAAATGTCAATCAATAAAGCATTTTTTTAAACAATGGCATTTAAAATTTTGAACAAAAATGATATTGCAACCATGTAGCCTATGAATTCATGAAAATAAATGTTTTTCAACTAAAGAGAACTTGGAGTGTGTGTGGGCTGCATTTGGTGCTTGAATTTATTCTTAAATATTAACGAGGTCCAGGTTTAGGAATATGCTAGTCTAGAAGTTACAATTTAAAAAATGTGTAATTTTGTTTCGCTATTTAACAATATTAACTTAATGTTATATTAATAATAATATATTAACAATACTGAAATACATCTTCCCTCAGGTAGATTGCATGTTTTTTTGCCTAGCTGGATGTTGTGCTTATGATCAATAATCACGTTGTTTGTATTCACCCAAACTGATTTGGCAAAATCAAAACACGGATGGTGAAGGGGATTGCCGTTATTGAGAGCCCCGCTAGCTGTGAAGTGGGAGCGACCAGGCGGCAGAGGATTCTGCAAGGTCTTAAAGCCTTCCTTGAGTGGCTATGTTCACAATTCAAACAATGATTTGTGCAAAAAGAATGGTTAATTTGTTATTTGTATGGTCTCGATGGTCATACTGCGTTTGCCTGCGAATACGGGACAAACTACATTCTGTATAGCGTTCATGCTTCTCTGATGCGTTAAATACGAGACAATTTCGTATTATACGGTACGGTTGGCAACCCTACTTATGTAGCATAATTTCACAAATCTAAAGTCAGATCATTCTGTTTTCCCTTTAAATCTTGAAATTATACAATCTAATTCAAATCAAAAACAACTGCTCATGCTACATGTATGTATCACTACTGCATGTTCAAAATAAATAAAAAATAAATAAATATCCTGTTGTACCAAACTCGTATCAAACCGTGACCCCAAAATCGAGGTACGTACCGATACACCCCTAATAAATATGGTGCACACATATGACACACAAATAGTTTTTTTCTTTAAATATTAAAGAACATAAGATGTAACATAAGTCCCAAATGTACATAACTGAGAACAAAATCTAGTATGAAACAATTGTTTAAACAAAATATCACACATAAAATTGAGAATATTAGTTTACATTTGTTTATTGTAAATTATATGAATATGAATTTAATATTATGACTGTTGTTTTTACTTCCAAAGTCTGTAAATTTAACAGATTGATTAGTTTTTACAGTATATGGTAAGGGAATTTGTCATTAAACAATTACCATGTTTTTGCGGTAGCATATTATAGTATTATTATTATTATTATAGTATTTAAGTATTATACTGTTAAAATGAAACATTTTTTACAGTACACTAGGGCTGCACGATAAAATTGAAATGGAATCGAGATCGCGATTCGACAGAAGCTGCGATTGTCATGTGTATCTTTCAGTGAAGCACGGTTCTGTGATCAGCAGTAAATCTCCATCCAAAGGCCAGAGGGCGCTCTCGCGCTGAAACTCCAAATATGCCTCGCAGAAGAAACCCAGAAAATGCTGAAATTCACTGCAGCTGAATAAACAGAAGATCCAACTGCTTTCATTGATTCAACGTGACTAATAAACACACGACTACGGTGTGTAGTAAATTCTGCTCCATCTGAAAGCACGTGATGATGATCTCCTGCTGATTACAGAACTGGCATTACTAACAAAATGTGCATGACAATCGCATTCGATTAATCGTGTAGCCCTACAGTACACATAGCACATTTTTGAATAGCGAATTTACGTTTTTTATTAATAAATTTGACTTTATTGGACAAGAAAGTCTAATAAAGACAGAAAGTGACAAGAAGAGAGGTGAACAGGATCTCTGAAAGGGTCTATATGTTTTAGGGGAATGATGGCACTCAATTAATCTGCTTGATAAATTTACGTTTTTGAAAAAGAAAAATAGAATCACTAAATCGTGTCCTTAATTTAATTATGTTGTTACCTTTTATAAAGGAAAATAAGGCACTCCACTGTATGTCATGCAACACCATGACTACATTCACAATTATTGCATGGGCCCGTTCCTTATTGGTTAAGTACAAAACATGTTTAATATAGAAAGAAACACATAATATACTGACAAAGTATCCAGGACTCTATGCCCTATCACTTTTCACCATCATCACTCCACCCCTCCATCACATGTACACAGACACGCACTCTAAACAAACAAGCAGTTCTAGTACAGCTTATAAACACTTACAACTATATCATACTACTGCTGCTGCAGCATAAATTAATTGAATTTTATATTTATGTATTGTATACCACTTTAACAGATCTAAAGATCCCATGAATCTATCTAGCTCCAGTTAAGTATGACAAGGCCAAAAATATACTACCAGAAATAAAACAGGTTGGCCGACATTTTAAAACCTGTGCTACCATGATTAATGCAATGGCTTATGTAAATGTAATCAAATGGGTCAAAAAGACAATGTCTACATTACAATTATTCTCTTTGTAAGATCAAACCATCCCAGACAGCGTCATGGTAGGCAACTGTCATCTCCTAAAATCTCACAGAGCTGTTTGGAAAACAAAACAGGCACGGCAGAGTTAGTCATCCAAGCCTCTGGAGTCTGGCACATGTTGCTTTGGGCACAACTCAAGATGAATTTGTCACAATGTGCAAACACGGGCAAATTAAAGCTGTGCAAATGCACAAAACAATGATCCACATGTTACGGGGTTCACACGACAGCAGCATCAAAGCAACCGGGAATCATTCATGTAAATGTAAACTGCCGGTTTCTGATGACAAAATCCAAAAGATACCGTTGACGATGTGAGAAAGTGGAGTTCATCTTAAAAGAAAATGAGCAGTGACACACTGGGGAGTCTACCAATAGGAGTGCACAGAGATATAAAGAGCAGGGGCACCAGTGCATTATCTAGTTATATGCATTGTATAGCTGTAATTGAACCGATATATTTAAAGACAGCAAAAAAAAAGATTAACACTGCTGATATTTAAATTAGATTAAACTCTTATAAATAGTTAACCCTATTATTAATATTATTTAACTAACCAAGATTAAAAATGGTATTTTATAAAGCTTTGAGTAGATTTTGGAACAGCTAAAGCCTGTTCAGACCAAGAACGATAAACATAACAATGATCACAATATTAGTATTCACATCAACGGTCGATAATGCTCTGTTTATTATTAGCACTGCAGTTCTGTCGTCTGCTGTTTTAAATGCTCAAGCTCTTTAAAGACGGCTGGATTCTGATTTGTTGCCAATTTTTTTTTTTGTTCATTAACTAAAATCATTCTTAAAGTGATTCCAAATACATTGTTCCGCATTATCGTAACAGTTGTAGTGTAGATTTCCATATTCTCGTAAAGGTGTGGTCACAATCACAATTGCTCTGTGAAATTTCGTGTGTGAAATCCAGTCATTAAGAAGAAAGAAAGGTTGGCACACCACAGCTCTAAAAATGCAAAAATGCATGAGAACATGAAATAACAATTTTTGCATTTTTGGAGCTGTGGTGTGCCAACCTTTCTTTCTTCTTATCGTTTACAATAGTTGAGCACCCTCAATTAGTTTTTTTTTTGCCAGTCAGATGTGCACTTTTTTTTTTTTTTTTGGCAAAATCCAGTCATTCCAAAAGTAATTAGCGGAAACGTGAGGTTTTGCACGAGGGCGAAAGATTTCTCCACACAGATTTTGCTCATGGCCTGTTTTCACACACAAAATTTAGCTGAAATTAGTATACATTAATGATGTGCAGTCTTTCTTCATGTTGCCTAAACCAAGATTTCACCAATTATTACACAGCTCCAGGGATTTTGTGAGAACTACATATTACTCATGCATTTTTCTATCCTCAGTCACAAACAGTCAGATCGAGCACCTTGCATTGTGTGTGTTGAGGTTTTCCTACCTTTTCGGCAAAAGAACGGCATAGCCCGTTTTCTCTAATCATGTAGTCCCGAAAAAAAAAATCCTCTTTCTACTGCATAGATGGCCCAATTTTATTAAAGGCCCATCTTGCCAGTGGTGAATTACACCCTTAAAACTGTATAGTTATAGTTATGGTTACAGTTATCGTCTTTGGTGTGAATGGGCCTTTATCAGCCTTTCCAATCACTGGTCAATCACTGGTTTTTGTTACCTATTTTTGAAGCAGATCATTGTGTCAATATAATATACACACCTGGAAAGGGAAGACGTTCTCGCTCCTGCTGTCATCCATCCAGGACTTAGGGTTGAAGCCGGGGCTGGTGCGGGAATACTTCTGCTGGGGCATGTGGTTGTTGGGGAAGGTCTTCTTCAGCGGGGAAATGGAGTTGAGAGGAGTCATGCCGCCATTCAAGCCACGGCGGTACTCACGGCCCTGGGAGCCACCCCAACCACCGTAACCCCCACCTGGGCTCCACGAAGTGGAAGAAGGAGAGGGCGAAGGGTTCTGGTAGCTGCCCCAGGGTGAGGGAGGCTTGCTCAGGTTGTTGGAGAGATGCGGCAGCTGGCCGAAGGGGGCACTGCGGTGGGGGAACGGCGGCTGATGGGGACTGGCCGGAGAACGACGATGCTGCTGGTGCTGGCTGTGAGGGTGCTGGAAGTGGGGGTGAGGTGGGTGGTGCTGGGAGATGGGACCAATCTGAGGGGAGAAGTTGCCCCCGAAGCCTGGACTGACGTGGTGGGAGAAATTCTGGAACAGCAGAGGGCCATTGTTGGCCGAGGCGGCCGGGTTGAAGAAGCTGATGTCCTCGTTGATGATGGTGGACGGGGTGGCAGGGATAGCAGCCGACCAGTTGTTGAAGCTGGTCAGGGAGGAGGAGGTGCTGGACTGAGCAACTGTGCCCAGTCCCGAAGGCTCCTGATAGTCAAAGGGCGTCAGCACGGGGGACTCCAAACGCAGCTTCTCCTTGCCGCTGGTCCCGTCGGATGACCCGCTCTCCACTTTACTCTCTTCGGCACGAGCCTTTTCCAGCTCAGAGATGATTCCGCTCTCCTGGTGTCCAGGGGAGAGTTGTTGCTGCTGCTTCTCTTGGGTCTCTTGCAGCTCCTGCTGCTGGGCTTTGGGCTTCTCGGAGCCCAGAATTTCATCTTGCATGTTGCTGTGAGCACCGGTCGCCGGGAACAGCCAGGTCGAACCACTGCTGCTGCCATTTCCAGCCGGGGTGCTGTTTATGAAAGCGGCGGGGCTGGCGGTCGCATTCTGGTGGTGGTGTGGTGCTTGCAGGTGAGGGTGGATTCGTACTGGGAAAGCAGACTTGTTGCCAGTGTTGTTCTGCACTAAGACTCCAAACCCGTAATCCCCCATTTATGTTCTCCAGTTCAACCTGGCTCCAACACAGTTATTCTTACTCCCTAAGCCCTGAAAAAGAACGCATATCCACGGTTAAAATACTCCATGACGCAGTTGCACAACATAATTCATGACACACTGGAAACACTGAGGACACCCTTTGGTGAGAGACTATGTGGCACTATGCCACCAGAGGTCACAAATACTGACAGCACAGATAAATGTGATCGACATCGCCAGGAAATGTATGATATGACATGTTTATGTTGCAAAGTATTATACCATATTGGCTATAACACAAGTTATAAAGGTCTTTCAGGCTGTAATTATAGGTTCGTGACGTCTCTTCAGCTAGCAGCTAACAGGCTACCGGCTTATTCAACAGGAACTGCTAAAAGGCTTCATATCTACCGAAAGGCCGACTCGACCGTGTTTTTCTGACGCAGAAATAATACAATCAGATAGCTAACACGATAAAGTACCGCTGTTGTTATAATTTAAATATCATCTAAGGCAAAAAAAAAAAAATCTTTAGTGTTCCCTTTCCTTTCCAACGAACGAATGCTCGAGCTGAAAAATGATGACGTCTTCTGCTCTCGCGCTACAATATTCACAATGCTGCACGATTTAAAACATAAACGCACAATACACATCTCATATTAGGGATCTGTCATAAATACGTTCACAAAAATCAATAAATACATTTATTTTCACCTTCGTAGCTGATCCAAGCGATGACTGAGGACAGACACTCGTTCCAGATATTATCACAACGCAAACTAACGCAGAAGCTCGAATAAACTGCTGATCTGATACTATGAAGTGGGGATCTTGAATCCGACAGGAGTGTCTATTTTTTCTCCCTTCCTCGTCTTGACGTGTCCTGCCTTCTCAATGACACAGCCCTGCCTCGCTTTAGCCAGCTGCTAACCTTTAAATCACTTGCTCAGACGATTCTATGTCATTGACTTCAATATAAAAAGACTAGTTTGGTTACTGGTGAACTGCAATGCGTTCATGCGTCCATTTCATTGTTAAATTTTCGTTTCTCTTGTCTTTTTTTTTTTCACCAGCGCACTGCTGCTCCCTTCGCTGCGCTGCCGCTGCTGTCCTTCTCTTTCCACGGCACAATCTACTGAAGCCAAATGACAAGGAGAACCAGTCCACACACACTTCCGGCTAAAGCTCCGCCTCCGCCGCGTCAGACCACGCCCACGAGAACCTCACTAGGCGCCCGTTCCTCTCACGCTGTTTGAGGACACGGGCTTTAATTGGTCAGAAAGCATGGTATTCCCGCCCACTTTTTCCTAATTTGGATGCGATTCATATTATATTTGTCTGCCCTTTAAGGTCATTGAGTAACGAGGTTCCGCCTTTTCCCTTTAAAGGGGTCATATGATGAGATTTAAATTTTTCCTTTCTCTTTGGAGTGTTACAAGCTCTTGGTGCATAAAGAAGATCTGTAAAATTGCAAAGACTAAAGTCTCAAATCCAAAGAGATATTCTTTATAAAAGTTAAGAGTCAGCCACACCTACCTAAAACGGCTCGTTCTAACACGCCCCAACATACCTACGTCGCTCTGTGGGAAGATTTGCATAACTCCGCCCAAATGTTCACGCAAAGAAAGAAGGCGTAACTTTTATTCTCACTGTAGTATTGTTGCCGCCGCCATATCCTGAAGGCGCTGTGTGCTTCGTTGTGAAAGCGAAACTACTTTGTTTGGTCTTCCAAAAGAGGACGATATCCGCTTCGTCATGCCTAGAGCTGAACACATTTCATTACACCAAATACACAAAATAATGTTCTTTTTAGCAGCATCATATGACCCCTTTAAGTCTTGAAATCTCCTCCCTGTAAGGTCAACAAGGCTTAAAAATATTTAGGTTTTTTTTTTATATAACAATAAGTGTAGCCATGTGAATCAGCATAATGTTTATCTTTCTATCTATCTATCTATCTATCTGTCTATCTGTCTATCTGTCTGTCTGTGTGTGTGTGTGTGTGTGTGTGTGTGTGTGTACATATACATACTGTAAATTCGGGTAAATTGGGACGCATTCATTTTAATATTTACTGAATTTATATTTATATTTTTTTCCTACTTTTATTACTTTATAGTTTTTATGTTGTGTTAGCATGTAAGTAATAGTGTAAGCATGATTAATGTTGAAAGTGGAGGTTTCAATGGGCTATATATGCAGCACCACAAAATGCTATGCAACATGTTTAAATGTATATACCCTAATGCAATTTTCCTGAGATTTCTCCTGTGTGACAGAATTCTGCGGCATGTGCAAATGTGTGTCCTTTCTTAAGACTCAGCAGGGGTTGGCTTTTCTCAGTTGTAATGACACCTGCTTGTGCCCTTTTTCCCTGTTTTAAGCGACCCAGATCAGTCTCATTACCAGTGTTCCTGCAAACGAATGGGTCAGAGAGCAAGGAGGAGAGTGGCTCTGAAAATGACAGCTGTGCCCTTAGAGACAGAGGTCTCATTAAGGCCTGCTCCTGACATTGCTGCTGTTTTCACTCCATAATGGAGCTCCTCCACCATCATCATTTGGACTTCTCATAGCATTAGGTCTACCAACAATGAAGCTAGATTGCAGAAATCAGCTCCTATGGGTGGCATCTTAGGTACAAGACAACATGTTTTATATATTATCATAACACAACTACAAATACATAAAAAATAGGCATAAAATATTGTTGTATTAAAGGAGACATATTATGCCCCTTTTTACAATATGTAATATAAGTCTCTGGTGTCCCCAGAATGTGTCTGTGAAGTTTCAGCTCAAAATACTCCACAGATCATTTATTATAACATTTTGAAAATGCCTACTTACAGAGGGAATTGCTAAGGCCCAGCAGGTTTAGTTTATTGATGAGCTGTTGTGGGATTATTGTGTTGAATGCTGAGCTGAAGTCGATGAACAGCATTCTAACATAGGAGTCTTTATTTTCTAGGTGGGTAAGAGCCAGGTGGAGGGTGGAGGAAATTGCATCGTCTGTAGAGCGGTTTGGACGGTATGCAAACTGGAGCGGATCGAGTGTGTTGGGGAGGCTGGTTTTGATGTTGTGCATGACTAACCTCTCAAAGCACTTCATCATGATTGGAGTCAGTGCTATGGGACGGTAGTCGTTTAGACAGGACACAGGTGATTTCTTTGGTAATATTATAATGAGATCCCTTTGCCACGTCACCAAGGGAGCGAAATCAGATGCGCTCGTTTTCTCAGACGCTAGCAGAAAAAGGCTTACCAAAACAAAGTTACTGGTTTAATCTTTTTCACGTTTCCTTGGTTGGTAGATGCACCGGGGACCTGATTATAGCACTTAAAACCTGGAAAAGTCAGATTTTCATGATATGTCATCTTTAACTAAAATTATTTTATTATGTTCAAAGAAAGAGACAATGGAGTAGACAAGAAAGGAAATCAATCATTATACTAAAATATTTTACCAATCAGTCTGAATTATCCAGAGAATATAGTAATAGAGGTGATTGCCAGTAAATAACAAAAGTAATTGAAATACTTGACAACTATCTGACCATTCACATCACAACAAAGCAACACGTTTTTGCCCTAACCAGCTATCACAGGAAATTTGCAAATGCTTTATGTCTGTTGAGCTACACTGGGTAGCCCCGCCCACACTAAAATCTAATTGGTTCAAAATTCAGCTGCACAATAGTATATGGCTGCATCTGAAATTGCATACTTTCCCTACTATATAGTAGGTGAAAAACAGTATTTGACAAAAAAAGTATGTCAAAAAAAGGCAAAAAGTACCCAGATGACCTACTACTTCCAGCTTGATTCTGAAGTGTGCATACGATGGACACATTACCATCTCAAGAGGCCACAGGAGAGGATTTATGAATGGCAGTGACACGACGCAACTGACGCTGGTAGGTCACATGATAATGACAACATGGCGAATATAGTACATCCAGATTACATTAATTAATTTCATTCTATAGAATGTACTCTTTTTGCGGTTGTGTGAAGTAATTTTTTATTTGTTAAAAAGTAAGAGAGTATGTGATTTTGAATGCAGCCTATAGGCTACTTCAAATATGTTCTGACTCGGGAAGTATTTTTCCCATTCATTTTTCCCTTTAGGAATTAAAAGAAAAAAAGTATATAAATAAATTAAAAATCTAGAAGTATCAGCCAGCCACCAAACCAGCCAGAGGTGAATCACAACATTGCAGACAAAAAGACAGAAGTACAAGACTGTGTACTTGAGAAACATTGCAAATGACATAATCAAATTGAAAATGATGGAGAAATAGAGTGCTGGGATAACATATTTCTGTAGGCCAAAACCAGAACAAATTAGCATTTTAGCACTTCCGGTTAATTTATCTGAAGTCAATGTTTTTCAAATGAGTTTTCGGTTAAATGCCTGAAATAAGGTCTGGCTTAAGATATTTTCACATTTTATTCTACAACATATAATACATAAGTAAAACTTTTACTTGTCTTGAAAACGTCAATCACTAACATGGAACTAACAGAGGTTGTCGAGGACAGTAAACGTCATCATGATAAACAGGTAACTCATCTGCTGAGTAGTCCGCTTTCACAGTTTCATTGTATTTATAACTGTGGTATAGTTCGTTTATAGCCTGTGTTTAGTTTTTTACTTCTGACAATTGTATTTAAGTTTCAGAATTCATACAAGTTGTGTTCATTTGTGAAGATTATTGTGATAAACAAAACCTGAATTATAAACTTTTGTTGCTTACAGTCAGATCTTATTTTCTGCAATAATCCAAAAGACAATGAAAAAAATCCTATTGGATTTTTGTCTGGGGAACCATGGTCATGCTAACTTTAGGGTTGGCCTACAAAATGACATCAAGCACTGCATCACTGTAGACTGTAAATCTATTTATAGCATTTGCTTTTTCAGTCTGATTTTATAAATAAAAGGCACACACCTCTAGATCGTTTCTTCCAGAGACCTCGTATTTACCTAGGTCAAACAGCAACCAAAGAACTCTGATTGGCATCTAATTAAATAAGAGTAGCCAATTCTCTTCACTAAACTCCTTTATTAACACCCATCTAACATTAATTAGGAAAGTTGAATAGCAACCCCAGTGAAATTGGCTATTAAAGTTGTTGCTGTGTACCTAACCCCTCAATCTCCGATTTCCTCTCCAGCACAGTCTCAGATGTTCAGTAGTTTATTCTGAAGACTCGGAGGGGAAGCAGGCAGTCTGTTTGACATCTACACTTCTCTCTTAATGTGGAAAGACGATGCCACCCTGTTGGTAAAGGAATTAAAAAAGCAGAGACAAAACCAGTCAGACTGGCTTTAATAGCAACACACCTTTGCAGCACAGCTCAAATAACCTCCATGCAAAATTATTCGGTCAGTCAAGCACATTTACATGCATTAAGGCAATTTGAATGAGGTTGGTGCATTTGAACAAGCAGATGTGCACTTGTGTCTCGCTGTAAGGATTCAGCCACTGCAGACGCGACCCTGGTTCAGTCTCCGGTTTCATTCGCCAAAGAGCCAGCAAGACTATGAATAAAACATTGAATCCATTGAAATATTAATCACCCCTACCTGAGGCATAATTACGGCACGATACTTTCCTTAAGAGAAGAGACTGAAGTTGTAACGAAGATGCATTGTGTTGTGTAATACTGCTTATTTTGTGTGCCATGAAATATTTAGCTAGTGTACACAGGCCTAAACAAAGCGATGTAAGCTGAACACGCAACAGGGATCGTATAATTGTCTTTTTATTACAAATATCACAATTTAGTGTACATAAATTTAAATTATTGTAAAATTTTAAATAATTTGCCTTATACTGTACTATCTGAAATGAAAAAAAAACAGTTCATTTATTAAAAATAATGATATTTATTTATTTTAAATATTTCAAAGAAAAAAAACAGAAGTCATTTCCTGAATGAATTCATCCTCCAGGAAGTGACATATTTTGGTGGGAAAGTATTAGCCATAGAGTTTGATATTCTGGTGATGTTTTATGGTATCAGTTTGTCTCACTTTAAAATAATAAATGAAAATGTTATATAAAATCTAAATTTGTAAATTTAGTTTAAAGATAAAATTAACTTAATTAATTAATCAATTAATTTCACTGTGTAAACAATCAAGTTATCAT